AACATGCTCAAAAACTCTTGAAACTTTGCACACGGGTCAGAACCCGCGGCCATCAGGGCCGGGCTGAAGCTGGTACCTGGGCGTGGCAGGGGGGCTCGACAGCGCCCCCTGGAATGGGGTCCGAAAACTTGGTCCATAAATCAAACACGCTTGAATGTAATAATATGAAACTCGGTACACATATAGATCTCATCGATTCATATATCCTTTGTACTTTTACTTTTTACCCCAGCCCAACAGGAAGTCGGCTATTATGGTTTGTTTGGAAGCGTATGCCCCTGGAATTCGATATACTCCTCCTAGAGAATTCAACCAATCGCCACGAAACTCGGTCAGCATGAAGTCAAGACATTGAGGATGAAAAGTTGCCAGGGGATTTTTGATATCTCGAACGGTTTGGCCGTGGCGAGGAAACGAATTTATGGCGAATAAAGGAAACAGGAAGTGTGTTATAACTTCTGCATACATTAACTGATCTTGATGAAACTTCAGCAGTGTGTTCGCTGTAAGAGTCCGATCACATGGATGTGACTATTGTGAGTCAAAGTTATAGCGCCACCAACTGGCAGCAGGAAGTGTGTCACTTCCTAAAGGCTTTGAAATCACCCTCTTATTTTTACCCAATTTGCTTCAAACTTTATGTGTATAATGTAGACACACGGCAGATGTAGACCTGAGAAAGGATTATTGATATCTTAGATACTGTTGCCGTGGCAACGCATCAAACTTTATTATTCTTTGTTGATGCTTTTGAGACTCTTAACATACTTGAAATTGCATGAAACCCGACAGACACATCACATTTATTAGACAGTAGACATGTGCAGAGTTTCAGAAACGGGCGTGGTGAGGGGCTCAGTAGCGCCACCTTTTGTCAAAAGTGGGGGGATTGATTTTATCTACAGTAATAAAAATCGGTATGTGTATTGTTCTCCTCCAGCTAGACAACTTTCTAATTTACACTCAATAGCTCCAACCAACAGGAAGTCAGATATTTTGGTTTGAAAATTGTCATTTTATGTCTCTCTCTCTCTGAGCCTACGTCTATGTGTGTGTGTGTGTGTCTGTGAGTGTGGGGAGGGGGAGGGGGGCTAGATTAACCATTTGACTGCTGTGTGGTTTGGCCTGCATTAAAAAAGAAAAAAAAATGTCTTACGCCTTGTATTTTTTACATAAGTTGTATTAATAAGTAAAGGCATATAACCAGTTGAATTGTAGTGCATTGAAAATAGTTTTATATAATTAGTTTATTAATTAAATTAACTTGGTCAGAAAATTTGGTCCATAAATCAAACACACTTGCATGTAATATTATGAAACTCTGTACACATATAGATCTCATCGGGCCAAACAACTTTAAGCCAGCCCAACAGGAAGTGGGCTATTTTGGTCTTAATGTGGATGTTTTGCAAAACCAGGCTCTACATTTTTACCCACTCCTCTTAAGTGGTTTATTTTATTCCCACCAAACTTTTTCAACATGATGAAAATACATTAAAGAAGCATAATTGTGAATATCTATTGAATATCTCTAATTGTTTTGCTATGGCGAGGGATTAAAGTCATGTAAAAAAAAAATAAACACTAAAAGCCTCATATCTTCTAAAAATTTAATTATACACCATTTATTTCTAGATAAAATTATACAAATATCAGAACTAAACCCATTTTATTCTTGTTTTCAATTTAAGAATAATGTACAAGTTTAAAAACAGCCAGGATGCACTATTCAGTTAAAAAATAAATATATCAAATACATAGGGCTATACTGCCCTCTTGTGTTCAAAATCAGGTAGGCCTGTTGTATTTAAATATAGGTAGCTGCTATGTGACTCCGAGAATTTTTTCTCACCGGTTATTTGACGTGTAACACCGGGGGCTTTTATATCGCTAAGTTAAAAGTGAAAGTAAAGTAAGGACATTTATAGTGGTGGCGCTCACAGTGCGCTCGAATGAATTTCTATGGAAGTAGAAATGAAAAAACGTTCGCTCTGTTTTGCTCGCTCGTCGCCATGGACGCGCACCGTAATGAATGCCACTGCAGCCGCATACTTTTTAGTGTCACTTTAAAATTAGTGCAATATCGGGGGCCAATTGCTTGAATTGTGAGTTCAATAGTCTATTATTTTTCACGGAAAACACAACAACAAAAGAGTACAATGATAGATTCGCTTAAATAGGCGCTTTTACATAAAATAGCCTATTCCGTCATCATCTTTTCAGTCAGCTCTTCACTCTCGTGATTAATGAAATTTGACTCCTGTTGCTGATATTTGCTGCAACTTTCGTTCTGCTCACAATTTAGTAAGCAAACACGCTTCAAATGTGTTTTTATTTTATTTTTGTGTGTATATATGTGTGTATATATATATATATATAGCTTATGTTTCAAATATGAGTTAATTAACAATCGTTTGAAAGAATGATACTTTTAAACATATCACTAAGCCGTCATTAGGTGTCGCCAGGCGACCGTCTTAATGAGCGAGTCATTGATTCATTTGTTCGAACGATTCGTTCGAACGGCTGAGTCATTCATGAATGAGACAGATTATGGATTGGTCATTGAATCTTTGAGTCAACCGATTCGTTCAAAATGCTGAATCATTCAGTAATGAGAAAACACGTTGCTGTGAGATGCTCGATGGTTCTGCTGTGATCTTTGTTTAACTAGTTTCACTGCTGAAACAGAAAAAAGTCAATATTGCATATAAAATGTAAGTGATTTGACTTGTGTGTGTGTCTGTGTGTGTGTGTGTGTGTGTGTGTGTGTGTGTGTGTGTGTATGATTGTGTCTGTTACTTTTTGGATATATATCTTTTTATATAAAAAAAAATAGGCATACAACCCATATATTTTAAATGTATTGTTTGCTTTAAATTACATTAAGATTTGTATGTTTGGTAATTGAACCTGAATGAATTTTAAATGAATGTGCTATATTTCAGAGTTTTCCTTAAAATTTGACCTAACACTAACTTTATTCTCATCTGAATGATAGATTATTTATTTCTGTATAAAATAAAAAAGAGATTTTGGTTGGGTGACAGTTGTAGTTTACAGTTTGACAAAAGCACAATGTTGTGTTTTATTGCGATTGTTCACAAATATAAGTAAACACTTATGAGATAGATGTTTATGGATTGATTGGTCATTGAATCTTTGAGTCAACCGATTCGTTCAAAATGCTGAATCATTCAGTAATGAGAACGCGTTGCTGTGAGATGCGCGATGGTTCTGCTGTGATCTTTGTTTAACTATTTTCGCTGCTGAAACAGAAAAAAAGTCAATATTGCATCTAAAATGTAAGTGATTTGACTTGTGTGTGTGTGTGTGATTGTGTGTGTGATTGTGTCTGTTACAGTGATAAGAGTTTAACCCTTGTTAAACTTTAGACCTTGTCTTTTTGGATATATATCTTTTTATATTAAAAAATAGTCATACAACCCATATATTTTAAATGTATTGTTTGCTTTAAATTACATTAAGATTGTATGTTTGGTAATCGAACCTAAATGAATTTTACATGAATGTGCTATATTTCAGATCATATATTTGTTTTCCTTAAAATTTGAACTAACACTAACTTTATTCTCATCTGAATGATAGATTATTTATTTCTGTATAAAATAAAAACACCTTTGATTTTTCTTTTTTAATCAATGTAGAATGTGTAACTGAAAAAATAAACAGATTAGGGCTCTGTTTGATGACAAGAAATGAAAACCAATGCGATATGATGAATGTCCAAAAGATGGCTCCCACAGACTGTTTTTAAATAGGATTGTTTGATATTTTTTGCTTTTAAACTGTGTGTGTGTGTGTGTGTGTGTGTGTGTGTGTAAGAGATTTTGGTTGGGTGACAGTTGTAGTTTACAGTTTGACAAGAGTTTATAGTTTGACAAAAGCACAATGTTGTGTTTTATTGCGAGTGTACACAAATATAAGTAAACACTTTGCAGTTTGAATAATGTCCTGTATGAACAAAAGGACGGAGTATGTCTTTATGTCTACATTGTTCAATTACGCCACACACACACACACACACACACAAACACTATTTTTCTAATCAGATCAGGCAAGTAATATTCTGTCTTGTCTCTTAAAAAAACAATATATATATATTTATGTATATATATATATATATATATATATATGTGTGTGTGTGTGTGTATATATATATATAAATATAGCTGCGAGCAGCGTGAAAGGGCCAAAGCCGGCGGCACCGCCACCCTGGTTATAGCGCCACCAACTGGCAGCAGGAAGTCTGTCACTTTCAAAAAGCTTTGAAATCACCTGATTGCTTCAAACTTCACTACTATGATGTAAACACACGGCAGATGTAGACCTGGATGTAGACCTGACCTTTCAGAAGGTTGCTCTCGCATACTTTGTGGTTGACATGTGCCCTCAATGCACACTTTTGCAGAGCCCACACTGATACAAGCTCTACAGCACACTTCTTTTCGACAGTCAAAGCAGGGTTACGTTTTTGCACGTCGTGCACAATAACCCTAAAGGCACCAGGGTGGCGGTGCCACCGGCTTTATATATATATATAAATAAATATAGCTGCGAGCAGCGATGAAGGGCCAAAGCCGGTGGTACCGCCACCCCGGTGCCTTTAGGTAACTAAAGGCACCGGGGTTGCGGTGCCACCGGCTTGGGCCCGTAATCGCTGCTCGCAGCTATATTTATTATTATTATTAAAAACATAACTCAAATTACCTCTGTTTTTCAGTTGTCTATTCAGGTTTCAAGTCAGTGTAGCATAACTTGAGAACTTAAAAAACTTAAAAAAGTTATAAAAGTTTCAAAATTCACATTTGAGGTATGATTATGTTGTAAATCAAAATATAAAACGTCTCTTCAAGGAATGTTAATAATCACAGAGCCTTTTTTACTCATTAATAGTTTGTGTGACTATAAAATGCTAATATGTTCCTGGTTCTAGGAACAATTCAGTTGGTTCACTGACTCTCGTGTTCTTTTCTTACAGCCAGTGTAAAGTCTCGTCCCTGGGCAGTGGCTATGTCACGGCACACTTCTGCTGTCTTGCGGAGGATGGCCATCTGAGTGATTTCTCGATGCGTGATGGAGCCATCCTGAAAAAGAGGTTTGAATGCTGCCGCCTGGGGGGGTTGAAACAGGGTCCCACAGAGAAGAAATACAGCCACCACAACCAGTGAAACCATGGCTGTCCTGTCCACAATAAATGGTGCTGTGGGACAATTCAGTCTTCTCTCACCATGCAGTGAAGAAAATCTTGATGAAATTTCACTAAACATTACAAGATAGATTAGCTTAAATATGGAAATTTCTAAGCTTGGAAATTTCCTCATAAAATACAACATATTATTAAATTAGAGAAAAATTGTGAATTAAAAAGTAAAAATGGAGAATTACCTTTTCGCAGATTTTGTGTGTACTGTAACTTATGCACAGCATCTGTCAGTGTATTTATACACCTTTACGTGAATAATGTCAGCGTCACACATACAATGTGACACACGTAAGGGATTGCAAATGAGATTTACTTCCTTGTTAACAACCATTGTTGATTGTGCCTTTTTGAAATCCAATCTTACCTTGCCTCTGTTACCTTGACAATTATTAATGGCCTATAACAATGCTAAGGACAGGTTACAAAATAAAACCTGATTTTATTTATTAAATTTAATCATTTAAATTATTAAACGTGAACATTTAGTTTTAAATGAATCTGCCTGATTCATTGCTCTGATTGGAATGCTTTAAACTTTCCCAGAACTTTAAAGATCACAATCATACACATAATTTAAGAACATCATGATTCACAACAGATTCCACAGATTCCAATTGAAATGTTTCCTGTGAAATTTAATTTCCATGAGCAATGGTAAATGTGACCAGACCTTAAAGGAGTAGTTCACTTATAAATGAAAATTAGCCCATGATTTACTCCCCTCAAGCCATCCTAGGTGTATATGACTTTCTTCTTTCAGAAGAATACAATCGGAGTTATATTAACAAATATCCTGGCACTTCCGAGTTTTATAATGGCAGTGGATTGCAACCAACAGATTGAAGCTCAAAAAAGTGCATCCATCAATCATAAACGAACTTCACACGGCTCCGGGGGGTTAATAAAGGACGTGTGAGGCAAAACGATGTGTTTGTGTAAGAAAAATATTCATATTTAAAACTTTATAAAGTAGAATAACTAGCTTCCGGCCAAACGAACATACGGATTCCACTTAAGTGTAAAGCTCAATTTATGCTATATTGCAACGTACTGCTGATGTTTACGCTACGCCATGATGTCCTACACTACTTCCGACGTCATACGTTGCGCTTTAATTTAGCGCTTAGCAAGGATTTTACTTTGTAACGTGTTAAATATGAATATTTTTCTTACACGAACTCATCGCTATGCTTCAGAAGGCCTTTATTAATCCCCCGGAGCCGTGTCAAGTTTGTTTATGATTGATGGATGCACATTTTTGAGCTTCAATCTGTTGGTTGCAATCCACTGCCATTATAAAACTTTGAAGAGCCAGGATATTTTTTGATGTGGCTAACTCTGATTGTATTCGTCTGAGAGAAGAAAGTCATATACACCTGGCTTGAGGGTGAGTAAATCATGGGTTCATTTTCCTTTTAAATTGAACTAATCCTTTAAAGCAAAATTATTTTGTGTGGAATTTTCCAATCCATTAAAATTAAAAGTTAAATAAATTAAAGTGATACCAATAAAAGGCCGGGTGAAACTCTGTGCCCATGAGTCTCCATGACCTCCCTCAATTATTTCCACAAAGTAAACGAGGACGTCCACAGAACTCTGACCTGTATTCACAATTAAAGGAATTCTGAATTATGCACAGGTATATGTGTTTATTTTGCTTTGACAAACAGAATAAAGATTATTTTCTGTGATAATTAACAGGATATGAGCTTAATTAGTATTTTATATGTACATGGCAGGAAATTACCAGAAAATCTATGGTGAATAATCTATGTCCAGTACAACTTTTTACTGAAGCTTTTGTAGAACTAATTACTGATTTTTAATCTCTTTTAGATTCCCTATAGTCAAGATGCTACCCAGAGGACAATTTGCCACTGAATGTGACTGAGACAAGTCTGAAAGTGGTATTCATTAAATCAGATGTTAATTGCATAATAATTATCACATAATCCTTAAGCCCATGCAATGCAGCCTTTAATGGATACTCCACCCAAAAATGTAAATTCTCTTATCATACTCACCCTAAGATAAACACCCTAAGATAAACACAAACAAAGATTTTTAGAAAAAAAAAAATGCATTTCTGTGATCACATAAAAAGCAATTGGATGGGTCCCTCAAGTTGATGCTTCAAAAACCACGTATAAAAAAAAGTGTAGTTACAAATGATCTTCTGCTGAAATACCAAATAAAAACATTTAAACACAAAAACCACACAAAGCAAACATGGCAGTATCCCATACGATCACAACTGATGAATCAATGTAGGCCTATTCTGAAGCGAAACAATAGGTGTGTATAAGAAAAATACAAATATTTTAAACTTTTTAAACTAAACTATTCATTCCGGCCAATGGTTATACATGGGTTTATGAGAGCATCATGAAGTTCTACATCAGCATGAAGCTCACGTGAGAAGTGATGCGGAAACACAAAAAAACTATTTTTCATGTAAGTTTCTCAACGCGCTTCCGTCTTGTCACGCTTCACAACATGCTGACATTTCAGTCAAGAATGAATTCCTGTGCGATGAAATGCAGGTAAAGATGATAACATCAGATGAATGATTCAGTTAAGCAAATATTTAGCAAGAGCTTCCTGCCAGTCCTGTTCTCGTTATTGTTCGTTGATCCATGGATTTGAGTATCTATGATTTAGTTATTATTTTATATTAATTAGATGAGTTTTTCTGAGGGGGGAGGTACAACATTTCTTGAGTTTTGTGAAGTTGGTTTTTGGCTTGATTTGACCATCGCAATACGAATGTCTAGAGAAATGTTATTTTTAGCCTTGTGAGTTTTTTATGTTATTATTGTAATAAACTGCATGGCTAGTGAGTATTTGATTATGATTATTCTGGTTTGATTCATCTATTTTTTTTTCCTTTTGAATAAAATTATTTCTTTGTTAAAATTGGACAACACGTCTCTGTCTTTTCATTACCACCGAACCTGTGTTGTTTTTCTTGGGTTTCCTTGGGTACAAATCCCAGGGTGGCGTAGTCGTTGTCATCTGGATCTACTTATACAGAAAGTACCGCTCTGGTCACACATGCTTTGTTTAAGGTCATCACCCAAGTGCTTTGTCTTCATTTGTAAGGACTGCCCCTTAAAATGTGTATAAAACTACAGTGTATAGCTTCCATAGTTAGACTTGATGACTGCAGCAACAGCTCGTGTTCTCAATAAAGAATCTTGCTGAAGATACAACCTATCCTGGTCTCACTTCTGAGTTTCCTCCCAAAATGTGTTATAACTGATAATCACTCATGTGACAGGAGTTCAGTGAAGTCCCTGAGCCAAAGGAGAAGCTGAATGAGAGTGGACGCAAATGCAAAAAGGAAAACCAATACAATGCCATGAGCTTGGACAATACTACTCCCCCTGATATGAACTTTATCTTTAATAAACTTCTAAAAAAAGATCAAGAATAGAGTCTACATTACTGTTGAAACCACAGCTTACCCACAAATCAAGTCTCAAACACACCTGTTCACTTACTACAGAAAGTGAGAGTGAAATTTCAATAGTAAATCTTAACCTTAATTATTAAATATTTACAAAGACTCTTTTAAACCTGACAATTCAAGACAAGTAAAGGCGGCAACATACAATGTTACATGCTGTGCTAAATACAATTTAGAATCATACAAAATGGGATACAAAAAAACAGGAGAAAGAAAGACACATGGAAAGTGAGTAAAATCCACTGAAAATAGCATTTGCTGTGGAGACAGTGAGATGCAGAATGGCATAATTGAGGTCGGTGGAGCCCGGAGCTTCTGCCTCAATAGTGAGTGTGAAATCTGTCCCGGACTCGGTATCGGAGAATGCAGTCAGTGTGACGCTTCCCTGAGCACTTCCTCCTGCCACAAGGATCAGATAGCGGGGAAAAGACACGCTGAAGCCCAGGTCAGACCGGGCTTTGGATAGTGTAGTTGCCGCCTGTAGTGTTAGAGGTCACTGTGAAGTTGAGACTGAATGGGACTCCAGGCTGTGCAATGTTCTGCGATTGGGCCTGTGGAGGAACAGATATGGTTAATGTATGTTTTTTGTCTCATACAGTGATTTTTTTTTTACCAACCTGTGATGTAAATTTAAGTGCATTATTGTTTAATAATTGTTGTAAATTACAGCAATTTGTGTTTGTGTATCCAACATTTTTTCATAGATATTTCTTACCGTGATGGTTATTCTAGATCCTTTATATTGGGTGGGTGACTGTCTCTGGAATCGACTAGTCGACAAGGAGTTATTCAACAGCCCTTTAAGTTGGACCACAAATGCCCCCTCTGGGATTCTGTCTACGTTCACCAGGAAGTCTGTCGCTCCCACTGCTTTGATGGTTCCATTAACAACATCAGATCCTGAAGCTTCAACTAGAAGCACGTCAGTCACTGTGACTGAATCTCCTCCGGTCACAGAGACAAACAAAGTAGCTTTCCGACCTGATCAACAATTACAGAAACACAAGTATAAGACATAGGATGGATGTATGTTTTGTGAGAACCAAGAAAAATAATTTTCAAACTTAAGGTGTGGTCACAAATTTATGATTGCCCACTGTCAAAGCAGAAACAAACTTTGTTGTATTATTTTCATGTTATCACTGTGAAGCTGCTTTGATACAATCTGTATTGTAAAAAGCGCTATATAAATAAAGGTGACTTGACTTGTCAATAGTGTCATGATGTAGCTTAAGCCAGAGATGGGCAACATCGGCTGTCACGGTGTGGGTTTTGTCTCTTGTTCCTTGTTCTTGTCTGTCATGTGATTCCCTGTTTGTCATGTGGTCCTGCCATGTGTCTTGTCATTTGTTAATTGTCTGATCATTGTTCACAGGTGTTCCTTGTCTTGTAATTAGTCAGTGTATTTAAGCCCTCTTGTTTGCCCTGTGTCTATTCGCACGGGATAAGTATTACCTGGTGACCTCTAGTCATTTGTAATAATTGCGGAGGTTGTCTGAGATCTTAATCCCGTGTGAATCGGCCATGTCTGTAATTTGTAAAGTAAAAATTCCCCCGCAAATGACCTACTATATATCGCTGAACACCGAGGTCCTGTGATAATATTAGTCCCGTGCGAATCGGCATCTTTGTGATTTTGCGGGATCGTATATCATTTTTTCAAGGTTTTTGTTTCATGTGCGTCTTTTTATCCACCTTTCGCGAAGAATGGAGTCTGTGTTGGAGTGTTTTAATAGTATTTTGGGTGCTGGGTCATATCGCTATACACAACTACACAATTTGCAGAAAAAGAAAGCTGAAAATCACCAGAAGAGCAAAAACAAAAAGAATGATTAGATGGAGATGTACATGTACAGCAGCATGCGGTAAGGAACTTTATTCTGTTTATGTCATAATATATCATACAGCTAGAGATAACGAAAATAAATTTCCAATCATCAGAACATCTCATTGACGTCATATCCGGGAGATAAGTCAGTAAATTTGAGTAAAATCACAGGCTTCGGGTTATCCCGTGCGAATGTGCCACACGAAATTCAGATGTGGTGGGGTAATTTCTAAATCACACGAGGTCCCCAGATAAAACTAATCCCGTGCGAATAGGGCTTTTGTCTAGTATTGTATGTTACCAGTGAATGTTTCCTGTCGTTTTAGTTTCAAGTTTCTAGCCTTCGTTTTATGTTTGATCTTATGTTTAAATTATTAAAGTTGCATTTGAGTTCGCTACATCTTGCCTCCGGTGGAATCAATTCGTAACATCGGCACTGTTGGGCCACTGTCCCACAGAGTTTAGCTCCAACCCTGATATAAAAAAAAAAACCTCACCTGCCTGTAGTTTTCTAGTAATCCTGAAGATATTGATTAGCTGGTTCAGGTGTGTTTGATTATAGGAACTAAACTGCAGGACAGACCGAAGTTGCCCATCTCTGATGTAAGCTCACACAAAAATCACCTTAAAACCAAACTTGGTGAATTCAAGTGAAAACTTAACGCAATGCAAAATCTGCATGAGTACATGTTTCGCCCTCACACAAAATTCCAGATTGCACAGATTCCAATTGAAATCACTGTATTTCGCCTGGAAAATTTCCCTGAGCAGTGGTAAATATGACCGCACCTTAAAGCAAAATTATTTTGTGTGACAATTTCCAATCCATTATGATGCATATACTTCCAAGACCCTACAGGGGGCAATTGATTTATGGATGGATGATATATGATGTTATACCAATAAAAGGCCGGGTGAAACTCTGTGCCCATGAGTCTCCATGACCTCCCTCAATTATCTCCACAAAGTAAACGAGGACGTCCACAGAACTCTGACCTGTATTCACAATTAAAGGAATTCTGAATTATGCACAGGCATATGCTTTTATTTTTTGCTTTGACGGACAGAATAAGGATGTTTTCTGTGATAATTGACATATTATGAGCTTAATTAGTATTTTAAATGTACATGGCAGGAAATCAATACTAGAAAATTTATGGTGAATAATCTATGTCCAGTACAACTTTTTAATGAAGCTTTTCTAGAACTACTTATTGCTAAAGCTATTTTAAGTTGAATTGCAGGAGTAAAAAAATAAACAACATTTGATACCTTAAAAGCAAGTCATACGCATAAATGAAAACTTTACCGATGACTTTCAGGGTGTAGGAACTTGTGGAGCTGATTCTAATCTTCCATTCCCCTGTCTGGTTGTCAGAGCGGATTTTTAATCTCTTTAGATTCCCTATAGTCAAGCTGCTACCCAGAGGACCATTTGCCACTGAACCTGACTGAGACACACCTGAAAGTGGTATTCATGAAATCAGATGTTAATTGCATAATAATTATCACATAATCCTAATGTCAAAGCCCATGCAATGGGGATACTCCACCCAAAAATGTAAATTCTCTTATCATACTCACCCTAAGATAAAAACCCTAAGATAAACACAAACAAAGATTTTTAGAAAAATAATCCATCTCTGTGATCACATAAAAAGCAATTGGATGGGTCCCTCAAGTTGATGCTTCAAAAACCACACAAAGCAAACATGGCAGTATTCCATACGATCACAATTGATGAATCAATGTCTTCTGAAGCGAAACGATAGGTGTGTGTATAAGAAAAATACAAATATTTTTAACTTTTTAAACTAAACTATTCATTCCGGCCAATGGTTATACATGGGTTTATGAGAGCATCGTGAAGTTCACCATCAGCATGAAGCTCACGTGAGAAGTGATGCGGAAACACAAAATATTACTTTTTTTTCCCTACCTACACCTCATTTAGCTTCAGACATTAATTCATCAAATCCGGCTGTAAATTATCGTTGTGTTTTGTGTAGTTTTTGAAGCGTCAACTTCATTATATGGAATCATAGAGATGGCCTATTTTTTAAAAACTCTTTCTTTGTGTTTATCTGAAGAAGGAAAGTCACACATCTGGGACAGCATGAAGGTGAGTAAATGATACGAGAATTATGAAACTGATTGATTAAGCACATAGGCTTCTGTAGATGAGCATTCTGTTCATAGATGCACAGGCTCACCTGTTGGGCTGTAGAGGGTAAAGACTGGAGAGTCTCCGGTGACATACACAGTCACATTGGACAGAGATGGATCCAACACAAAAGAAAAGTTTTCTGAAATGGCTGGACTTCTCTCTATGTAAAGAACAGTCACCTTCAAGAAAAACATGTTTTACTGCATTTGAGATTTAAAGAGTTACCCCCAAGAACAGCACAGCACAAATAAAAGCATTCAGATTAGGATATGATTGGTGGTATAAAGCAAAATACACTTACATTATAAAATGCATGTCTATATAATAATGATAGAAGTATCGTTAATAAAGTGGTCTTGTTGTTGAAACATACCAGGCCAGCGGCGATTACATCCGTAATGACTGCAGTGGCCTGAGACAGTGTAGAGTTTGTGACCTCTATGGTCTGTCCACCAGAAATATGGGCCAGGTCTCTGTACAGCTGTATGTCTGACTGAGACAATAATCTTGATAGCGAGACATTCTGCTGACTACGCGACGAGATGGAGTTTGTCAGCAGGAAAGTGACCTAAAGTAAAGGAACAAACAAGTATTAAGACATCTGTAACATAACTGATCCCAACTGAAGAAACAAATCAAGCAGTTCTGCAGGCACTCACTGTTGACTTGGTGATTTGTATCATGGCCTCAACTGCGCTTTTTAATTCTGTGTCCTTTACTGAAGCATCAGTGAAAACAAAAATGTCTGATGATGGATGAGCTTGTGTCAGTGTCAACTATAGATCCATGAAACAGAAAAGACAAGAACTTTTAGCATTATAATGACTGAATATAAGGCTTTCAAGAGTTTGTGTGCCTGTTAAGGGTAGACGTGACTGAATTGTCGTGAGCAGATGAAAGCACTCAGAGGTTGGATGAGTTGGTTCAGGTGGGATATTTTTTATTTTTCCCAGTTAAGGCCAATGAAAGGCAATAAAAAATTAACAAACAAAAAAAACAAAGAAAAAAAACACTATTTAGTAAATAAAGTAAATTGACATGAGAGTAAAAAACAACAACAATCAAATGTTGTTTGAAAATTGACCTTAACACAAGTCACCATAGTTAAAGCAAAGACAGACTTATGTCCTCTCACTCACGCTCCTTCCGACAGAATGACAACACTAAACTTTATAGTCCTGAGGTCACCCCTGGAATTGGAACATACCAACACATAATTATGGTGCAGGGGTGGCTCAGTTGACAAAGACATAAATGCTTAAAAACAGCTAAAATACTACTTCTATGAAACTAGAAAATTACAGAATATTATTTCTACATTTTCAGCTAACAATTGACAAGCAACAAGTCATATTCTACAGCTACAAATAAATAACTCAAACTCCGGGTCATTTGCTATTGACCCGGAAGTCATAGCGTCATTTAAACCCAAGGGGGTAATCCATCGACCGGAAGTTGAAGCCGGCCGGGTGCCGCCATGTTGTAGCAGAACTTCACTTGCGTTAGCATTTCCATTGACTCCCATTCATTTTGGCGTCACTTTGACAGCGAATAACTTTACATCTGAGGCGTTTAAAGACTCCATTTGTCCATTATTTATTTCTAAAGAAACACGACAATGTATAAAGGGCTCCATTACCTTCTATGTTACATTATGGCCCCGTAGAAACAGTTTTAGTAAAAATAGGCTAACGATTGCGTCATAACCACTCGACTCTCTGTCGCGCTGTACAGAAATTACCGTACAGACAGGAGGAGAAGCTCGCAGGCAATCGGGGGGACGCCCCGTCAAGGAAGAAGCCCATAGATAATGAGTCCATAAAAGCAACGGAATACTTACTCCTGCTCACTCACGCCAAAGAACTCTTTGCTCAAGTTCCCCGTCTCTGCAAGATTAACGCTGGCAATTTTCACGCACAGCTACTAGAAGATTAACGTCTGTCAGACAGGTTGCTCACGTCATCAAGCTTAGTTTGAGTCGGTTTGAGTCTGCGCGTCAGGAACGGAAGTGCTCAAAAATCGCTAAAAATGGGCTTCAACTGTCTCAACTGAGTTCCAATGAGATGGCTCTGTCCATTTCTTATACTGTCTATGTTTAAACCCCACAATCGCGGCAAATTTTCCTTTACACAAACACACCGGAGACGTCAGTACGACAAAGATGGTATGTCAAAGCTATGTTTCTCTTAAACTAAATAAACGGATACATACTGAAAACATGTGTTGCGTGATTATTGTAACTGATTATGACTGTAACGTAAATGACATTATTTTCTTTAAAACTGCAAGATATGTATTGATAGAAGTAACGTTAGCTATAGCATATAAATCACCGCAGTATTAGCTGTTAAAAGTGTGCACACAAAAGCTACGGGATATATGAGATTTTGTAGTGAAAGGCTAGATTAACAGCAGATTTGTAACAGTATAATTATTAACAGAAGACATTAATGTGCTAGACAAACACATACAGGTCACATTTGCACTCAGTCTTTGTGTACTGGAATAGGCAGCATATCGCTGCCGTGACGATAGCTATGCGCCCCGGCACAGTGCCCATATAATCTTAGCGTAAGTGGTAAACGGATGTGGGTTGCTGTCTGCTATAGAGGTCTCAGAGAGGATATTCTACTCGAGCTCCAATTGCCCCCTATTACACAGGTAAAATAAGGTACAAAAGGAGGAGGAGGGGAGGAGGGATGCCGAAAGAACTAACGACGAGAAGTGGTAAGAGGCTGGTTTTTATACCTTGGTATTAATTAGAAGATTAGATTTCCTCCCGAAATTACGTTAATAACTTAACTTATTGTGGATCTCAAAGCATAAAACAATTATTTCCTCTAAATCTAAATTTTCATAACATCTTATATGTTCAAACAAATATTGTACTTGTTTGAGTGTACTGGTTTCATAGTGAACTTTTCTCAGGATGAATGAAGGTTTACACTACTGTCCAAAAGACATTGAACACACACACACACACCAGCAGTCCTGAAAGGCACATCCCTGGATTTGAACCATCAGATGCTGAAAGGGAATTGATTCGCTCTTTAAATGTATCTGCATTTTCAGTTTTCATCAGAGGTCCAAAACCTGTGAAAAACACAAACACCTCACTACAGGGCACCACAATAACAAAATGCACAGGACATTTTAAACAAACTGTGACTGCATTTTAGCATAAGACTGCAACACAAAATGTGAAAAAAAGAAGGGTCTGAATACTTTCTGAATCCAATGTGTATATACAGTAGGACTATCAGATAAACAAGTTAAGCAAGTAGAAGCTGGTATCTTTACACACTTTATATTAAGTGTCTTTAACAATGCACTTATTGTGTACATACGTGTATTTACATTGCAATTACAGATGTAATTAATTTATATATCTACATCTATAATTACACTGTTGACCCTTCTCTTACACCTTTATCCAGCCCTATACCTACCCATACCACCAAACCTGTTCTTAACCTTACCCGTATCACACCTCAATAGCACCAAAAACGAATACAATAAGTACATTGTACCTAACGATTTCTTTGACGTAAGTGTATAGTAGTTACCCTGGTCATTAAATGGGACTAGAATATATTCTGAAGGTTCCTCTGATGTTCCTCTCCTGCTGTCTATGATACTGAAGGTCACTGTCTTGGCCTCTGCGATGTAATTAGACATACTGCCCGTGGTGTCAAACACAAAAGCCAGAACTGAGGTCTGACTCAGGCCCATCAGTCTGAGAGAGAGAGAGAGAGCAGATGAAATGCAAGAATTTGCCCAATGTTGACCTAATGTGTGGATCATCAGTTCACAGTGATGTAATTTTCCACCTGTTCCTCATAAAACTATTGTATAGCTTCAGAAAATGTGGACTACAGTGCATAAATATGAACCACTTTTGTACTATTGTAACTATTGTACTATTGTAGCACAAACTATTTCTTCCTTTTATGCTACTAAAGTACCATAAGTCAATAGTCTCATACCGAAGAAAGGTTACATTGCCTGTTGCTACTCGGATGTCTTCCAGCAGTTCAATAGTAGCATTGATGGCCATTTCAGCGGCACGCTTATGAAGGAAGCCGTGACTTGAGCTGATGTCATCCTTGTTGATACCTCCGGTGGGGTCTCTATAACTGGTGCTATCAAAAAGGCCGCCATGGCTACACTTGCCTGAGAGAGAGTTAAATTCACTTTTATATAACCAGTGTTTCTGAGTGTACAGCATTTTGGTCTTTAAATTCAAAGCATCTTGAACTCTGCAATAAAGCTCAGACAGTAATTGATGGAGTTCATTTAAGGAACTTGATGGGACCTGATGTCTCCTAAACCCCATTAATGGTGACTGCATACAGTTACCCCTTTTTATCTTTACCATTCTTGAAGTACCTTGACAGTGCATATACTAAAATGAAAACCTGTGAAAATGTAAAAAGTAAAAACATTTACTCAAGCCAGACAAGTATGAAAAATAGTCTGTAAAAACAGGGCACAAAGTCAAGTGTGTCATGGTGGCTGTAATGATGCACACGACGAAGAAGTAGAAAAACAAAATTTATTCTTTATTAAACCAACAATGGAACACTTAGGAGATCGCATCCAGGAGCTAATAATAAACACAAAACATAAACGATACCGGACAATGAACAGACAGAACTCAGGGTTTAAATACAAAGGGAGGGTAATTAAAATAAATACAACAGGTGAATTAAATCAGTAACTCATTAGGGCACAAAGAACACAGGCAAACCAGACACAGTGAAAATGAGACTAAAACAGGACATACACGTTACATTAGTCCCCGAGCCATAACAAGTCCAACTGAAGAGGGAGGGAGGGTGCTTTGGAGGAGGATGAGGGGCTGAAGAAGGGCAGGACACCGGAATAGATGACAGAGGGAGAGACCAAGGTGGTGATAACGGAGGAAGGAGCCAGAAGCAGAAGTAGCCAGACGAGAACCCTAGAGCACCGTCAGGACAATCGACAACGGCGGAGGCGAGGGAGGGAGGAGCCATCGTGAATACTTGGCTGACGACACCAGGGGGGGGCGACTGACAGAGACGAAGCCGGTGGAGATTCAGGTAGGTGGAGCTGAAGAGACAATAAGCCCAAGCAAAATAGATGGCTCTGGAGACCGAGGTGGAGCCGCAGCGCCGAATGTCTGAGAGGGAGCCAGGGTGCCAGAGGACTGAGGCAGAGCCAGTGTTACTGAGGATCAAGGCAGAGCTCGAGGGACGGTGGAGCCCGACAGAGCCAAAGGGGTGGAGGGACGATGCGTAGCTGAAGGCCTGTAAGTCCGTGACGCATGCAGAGTGACATCGGACCAAGGTTGAGCCTGAGGGACCCCAGTGCAGCCATAAGGATGATGGTCCCAGGTGGAGCCGAGGGAGGGAGAAACCAAGGGTCGAGCCGAAAGGTCGACAAGCCGATGATGGAGCGATGGACTCGATGGCTGGAGGCAGAGTCAGGGGATCCTCTTTCCAAGGCGGAGCTGATGACCGGAAGATCCTGTGAATACTGATCTTGGAGTTAACAATGGAGGAACTGAGGAGTTGACGGGGACCAGCGGAGGCCGGGTTGAGGGACTGGAAGACTTTTAAAAAGCAGGCGGGAGAGGGAGGCTGGAGACTTAGAGCAGAGCGGAAACAGCGGGGGCACAGAAAACTTCAAGCTGGGAGGAACTAGCATAGACACAGACTTCGTACTAGGAAGAACCAGTAGGGACGGGAGAACTAGGAATACATCCTCTTCCATTTCAAAATAACCTCAGTGGCGGGAGTGTGGGCGGGGCTTTCCTCCATGCCCTCAAACTCCACAAGTAGTACCACACCGATGCACGGTGTTGTCAGCTCACGCACCTGGTCAGACTCTGCGGTGGGGCTCGGGCTCCGGGGGAATGGTTGGCTCAGTCCTCTTTACTGGTTCATGCATTGTGGCAGGCTTGGGCTCACTGTGAATGCTGATCCATTGGTAACCAGCACCCACTCCACAAATGCGGCAAAATCCTCTCTGGGACCTTTCCCTGGAAGGGGTGCCTTGGACCGGATAGCGAGTTAGGCACGCCAGATCTAAAAAGTCCCTTGTATGGTCCTCCAGTGAATGGTCTTTCTGCTCCAGGTAGAGTAGTTGGATGGCGGGTGGGTACATTTTGTTGTGTTAGTTAATCAGCCGAGACAGCAATCACACAGCCTAGCAGGTACATAACTGAACTTTATTGAACACTCACAGAGTACAAACCCCCTGCAAACTCAGTTGCGATCTCACCCATCTGATATCACTACATCTCCCCTTCCCCAAACAATGAATTTGGCGAATCCAAGAATGTTACTGTTCTGGCATAATAAACATACTCTAACCATTTAAACCAATACTATGCCATACTTCTATTATCACATGAAAGAAAATTATTTAATTATTTATTATAAAACATTTTGTCTTGCTTTCTTTCCCTTTACAATACTTTTCCTCAATTTTATTACAATAACATTGTGGTCACCCCCCTTTTTATAACCTTTTTTTTAAGGAGGTCAGGGTGGACTACCTGAGCACTCCTGGCACAGTGAGAGGATTATTCTGCCTCTGTGGTCACCGGCCATGAACTAAAGGTTCATTCGTCTTGGTGGAACAGACAAACATCCCAACCTTGTGTATGTCCCCAGTCGGGTAGGTATGGCAGGCTGCGGACTTGGAGCTGGTTGAGGAACTGTTGCTGCTTGACAGTCAGGTACATGATCATCCTCACAAAAGTCTGGCAAATCAACTGTTTGTTCTTTTTCTTTTTCAGGGTGGTGGAGTCTCACCAACACCCGTCTGTTGCGTCGAATATTTTCATGTGAGGTTTTCAAAACAAACGACCTTGGGGCCTGCTGTCGGATCACTTTCGCAGTGACGGCTTGGTCCTTAATCCAAACAGTCTGTCCAGGCTTCAGTGGTGACAAAGATCTTGCTGTATGTCTCTTATTGTACGAATTTCTTGTTCGAGCACGTAAGCTGGATTCAAACTGTTTCAGTTTGTCTACATCTGGAAGTTTAGGTGTGAGAAGAGACGGCAGAGTTGGTAAGCCTGTTCTCAGTCTTCTGCCCATTGACAATTCCGCTGGACTATAGCCGTTTGCTAGTGGTGTAGAGCGGTATGCAAGCAAGGTTTTGAACGGATCTGATGTTTTCCCCAGGAGTTTTTTGACAGTTTGCACCGCTCGTTCGGCTTCACCATTCCCTTGTGGATACCGTGGGCTGCTTGTTATGTGCTTAAAGTCATATTCCCTCGAAAACTCCCGGAAATCAGCGCTGCTATACTGTGGCCCATTGTCAGATATTGGCATCTCAGGCACCCCATTTCCGTGCAAACACTGCTTTAAGATGTTCTATTATGGTTGCCGAAGAAGTTGATGCCAATTTGATTACATCGACATCTCTTGAATAGTAATCAACAGTTAAAAGGTACTTTTGTCCCTTTAGTTCAAACAGGTCTGTAGCTGCTCTCTGCCATGGATATGGTGGAAAGTCTGTAGGTTGTAGCGGTTCTACAACTGTCATGGAAGCCTTTCTACACTCATCACATTGTTGCACCATAGTTTGCAATTGTGAACTCAGACCGGGCCACCACACAGACTGTCTTGCCCTTTGACGACATTTTTCTATTCCTTGGTGTGCCTGATGAATCTGAAGGAGAACTGAACTTTGGAGTGAGCAGGGATTATCAACCTTGTCCCATGTAGAAGCAGTCCTTCGAGGATGGAAATCATGTCTCTTTCCAGCCAGTAAGGTCTGAGTTTGTCACTAGCCTGCACAGTTCTCAGCCATCCATGCTCATGGAACCACATTACTTGGCTGCATACAGGGTCTTTCTTTAACTCCTGTCGAATGTTGTCTAGGCGGCTCTTTGAGGCAGGTAAGTGCTCATACTGGGCATTCTTGACAGTGTGTCTGGAGTTGTGAACTGTTTCCCTGGAACATGGCTGATCTCGTAGGAATATCTCATAAGTCTCATTCTGAACTTTGCAGCCTTGGTGGTAAGTCATCCAGATGTTTTGTGCTCAGTAAGCTCAAAAGTGGCTTATGGTCTGTCTCGAGAAAGAAATGCTTCCCAATGAGATAGCAGCTGAAACGCTTGCATGCCCAAACAAGAGCTAGAGTCTCCTTCTCTATCTGAGCATATCTCTGCTCAGTTGGAGTTAATGCTCTAGACGCGTATGCAATGGGTTTCCATGCATCACTGGACTTTTGAAAAATCACTCCTCCCAGACCAAAGGACGATGCATCTACTGCGACTTTAGTTTCCTTGCTTGGATCAAAGAGTGCTAAAGTTGGCATCGTGGTTAGCTCTTTTTTCAGCAATGCGAATGACTCCTGCTGTGGAGTGTCCCAGGACCACAGACTTCTTTGTGAGAGGAGGTCTCGCAAAGGGTTTGTTTTCTCGGCCAGGTCTGGAATGAACTTCCCCAAATGGTTCATCATTCCAAGAAAGCTGCGTACCTCAGACACATTGTTAGGCTCACGCATATTTTGAACCGCAGTCAGTTTCTCTGGGTCGGGCTGTAATCCAGCTGAGGACAGCTTGTGTGGCCTAGGAACTTGACTTCAGTCTTTGCAAATTCACACTTCTTTCTGTTAAGCGTCAGGCCAGCTTTCTGCACCCTCTTTAATGCTGCGTCGAGTCTGATGTCATGTTCCTCTGGAGATCTTCCATATATGAGGATGTCATCCATGTGGCATGTTACTCCATCCAGTCCCTCCAAAATCTGAAACATTCTCATTTGAAACAGCTCTGGAGCACTGGAAATCCCAAATGGAAGTCTCTTAAAAGAGTAGCGCCCAAATGGCGTAATGAAGGTAGTCAATTGTTGAGACTGTAATGAATTTTGAAAATTTGAATATTTTGAATATTAATAATCAATAATAACTTGTTATAATTAATTATGAATATTTGGGTCAGTTAATTGGATTAACTTGATGTGGCTGAATTAATATTACAATCAATTAATCAGTTAGTCCAACGGACTCTTTGATTTAATTAAATTTCACATTTATTCTAAGAAAAAGGTACCTTCCATGGCCACAGAAAAATAATTATTTCTTAGCATGTACAGCGCTTTGAGCACGTAACAAGATCAAAAACCGTAAAGGGACTTCGTATTGCAAGCAAATCAGAACCAACTACATATTGTGCAAAAGTTTTATTAACTAAATCATAAACATAAATAAACTAAACAAACATATATACATAAATAGGTGAGTGATAGGATGAAATTGGAAACCGGAAGAGGGACTATGAGAAGAACCATCAGAATTTCATTTTTACATTTCATTGAATTGAATACTTGCATTTGTAGTGGGAACAATTCTTGAAGTTGTTGAAAAATTGAAGTCGTTGATGGTTCCGGCAGTGTCAAGTGGAAGTTGGTTGAGAGTTCTCTTTCTCCAGGAGCACATGGCTGGTTTGGTCAAGGCCTGGGGCCCTGTTGAGGCCACGTCGAGCACCCAGAAGAAGTGAGGAAGTCGGAAGAGTGGGTGATTGGAGTCGTTGTTGGTTGGAGTCGTTGTTCCAAAACTCCTGAGATTGTCCTTGGTTCTTTGTGAGAGAGTCTTCTCTCTCCTGCATGAGCCCATATCTGGTTGGATCAAGCTGCTGGGCCCTGGGGCCCCCGTAGAGGGGGAGGGGGTTCCCCAGTATCACCAGAAACAGTGTTGCGGCTGGATGAAAAAACTAAGAGAGGGAGGTCACTGTGGACTGTCTCTAATAAAGCCTGAGAAAGATCCAACCCCTAAGGGTTGACTGACCAATAAGAAAGGTGACATGTCTGAGAGGGAAAGTGGCTCTTAGTTGATTTATGGTCTTTGTCCCCAGCGTGCTTAGACTGTTCATTCATGCTCAAATAGATATAACAAATCCACATTGCATTCTCAGAGAAGGTGATGTACATCAAAGTGTGAGTCATTAAATGAGGATTAATTAGGTAGGAGGCATGATACAGGTGAGGTTACATTGAATGGTTACATTTTGTATGTGCTTCATGACATTTTTTTCGATTTTACTCAAGATAACTTAAAAGGACCAAGAAAAAATGAGCATAACCAATGTCCCTCGCATGTGCAGATTGATATTTAAAAGTTTTTGAATTTTTCTTCTTCACACTAACGTTTAGATATTTAAATAGCATAAAACACCAATAACAAAGTGAACTTAGTAGGTTAGCTGATTACCTTAAAAATCCATAGATATCGTAGGTAGTTCTTACGGCCGTTAACACTTTCTCTGACAAGTGGATGCAATGAGACCCGTTTTCCGGTTTGGTCACGTGACGCTCGGCATGAAGCCTATTACCTGAGTACTGACTCGCTGCACCTGCACTCCCTCATCAGCACACCCTTATATGCCCCGTTCTCCCTTCACTCTGGGTCTGGTCTCGTCGATGTTACTATGACAAACAGATTCCTTACCTGAACACTCACCTGAGATCGTCATCCATATCCTGTCTCCCGTCTGTCTTCAACCCGTTGTTAAGATCCAGTTCCCCTATCTTCGCTCGCCTTCATCACCTGCACGGAAACCCACTTCAGTCACCATCCAGCCAAGTCACCATCTGCATCGTTCAGTCACCATTCACTCTCCATTGCCTGGTTCCTGCTACTGCTTCACCACTCTGCTTAATAAAGACTGTTTTATACTTACCAGCTGTCTGTTCCCTTCTGTGTGTGTGACATGATGATACCGGACAATGAACAGACATAACTTAGGGTTTAAATGCACAGGGAGAGTAATTAAAACAAGTAAGAATGGGTGAATTAAATCAGGAACTAATTAGGGCACAAAGAACAGGCAAACCAAGAACCGGAAAAACAGTGAAAACCATACTAAAACAGAACGTGCATGTTACAATGTGTTAATATGAATACATTTACTGTATTGATTTTTCACAGGTGTTTTACCCATATTTTGAATTATGCATTGCTTTGTGTTTTATGTTTAAATGAAATGTCTGTAAACTGAATGGATAATGACCGGATAATGACCAGAAAATGACCAGTACCTTTTCAAAATTTCCACACACAAAAAATTCTTACAGAGATGTAGTAGATCATACACAGTGTTGTGCTAGTTACTAAGAAATAGTAACTAGTTACAGTTACTAGTTACTTCATTCAAAAAGTAACTCAATTACTTTGTTGATTACTTGCACCAAAAAGTAATGCGTTACTGTGAAAAGTAACTTTTTAGTTACTTTTTTAAAGAAAGTTCTTTAATGTTCCCATTAATGCCCTTTTATACGTTATGGTCTATACAAACACAAAACTGACTTAAACAGAAAGTAATTTTTAAACACTATTTTATTTAAGTCAGACCAGCACAAACTGAATATATCACAAGGATTTCTGAAATAAATAACAAAACAAGCATGTGTAAAGCTAGTGATGTGTTTGCTTTCTCAACATTGATATGTTCATGCAGCTGACAGTAATACGTTTTTACTGCATGAATGAATATTTGAGCAATACAATTGTACCTTGATCATTCTTGTTAGTTCATAGTAGGCTAATTAACTAAGGTAATAACAGATACAATAACAATTTAAACTCAATTTCAAATGTATTAAGTAAATGTTGAAATTAAAAAACTAACAATGAATGATACTTCTACAACATTTATTAACCATATTTAATGCTAAAATTGTAATCTCATTGTAAAGTGTTACCATTTTATATGATTCAAGCTTATAGAAGATGGCCATATTTAAATATCTGCAAAGGCCAGAGCATTAAAATTACATAAATGTAGACCTATATATTACATGTATAGTCTTTCACTTTATTTGCTTAAATTTTAGAACACTTGATTAGGAAACTTGATGTCGCTGCATGAACATATCAATGTAAGCATTGCAATCACGTCAGCTTTAAAAATACAACTTCGCCGGCTAATGAATGCATAACAGTGACCAGCTGGATATAAACTAATGCAAATAGATGGTAACAATTGCGACATAAAACATCTGGGTCAGGTCTGCGTGTGTTTTGGTCACATTGCTTTAATCGCTTGAGGTAAGTTAGCCGTTACTAATGTTATTCCTCTCAGACTCGACGGCAAGCTTCTGTTCTTTCTCTGTTGATGCAGCATCTAGACAAAATATTACTTTATAATGATATGGCAATGTGTACTTTAGTGTTCTGTATTCATACCGTTTCGCTGTCTGTGTTTTAAATGCGCATCTGAAGTGCTCAGCGCTCTCCGTGCAGCTTGTAATCTCCGTGCTCGCGCGGCCTCACGTGTTAACGTAAACAACTCAGCCAGTGAGTTTATGTGTCCTCTCGCTCTGTATAATGCTAGCAGTCTCTTCAGTGATCTCGTACTGTGTAACAGCGCACACTTCTCAGCCGCTCCAGCAACTAATTAATTTAAAAAAGTAACGGACAACGCACCATATGGTAACGATAACGGAGTTACTTTATTTAAAAAGTAATGCGTTACAGTATTAGTTACTGTCAAAAGTAACTGCGTTACAGTAACGCGTTACTAGTAACGCGTTACTGCCCAACACTGATCATACAAACAGTGCTTTTGATCACTTCGGTGTTACAATACAGCTTCATCCTATCCCAGAAGATTCAGCTCAAGTAATACATGTTCTAGGTGTGGAACTGTCTGACTTTGGTCTAAAAAGACTAATAAGCACTTAAACCTATGCTAATGTTTGAGATGTTAAGCTTCCCTACCTCCAGGTTTGGTTGAGAGTAAAATCCTGAAATATCCTGAAGTTAAGATCTTCTGCTGCAAAACCTCTTGGAGAATGTTGTCACTGCAGTCTTTTCCAACACAGCTTTTGCATGTTTTTGTATTAGGACCTAGACATCCACCCAGAAACATAAGTGTGTGTGGGGAATGAACCAATATATATATACATATAAAAAAAACTGGTTACTTGACATGAGTGGACAAATGTAAAGGTCATATGATACAACTGATTGGGGAATTAATTTTGAGTTGAATACCAAGAAACTACTTCAGGAACAACTATACAGTACAGTACCTGCTAGATTGATGAGAGGAAGTTCAGGTCTGATCAGGGGGCTGAAAGGAGCAGTGCTTCCCAGTTCCACCCAGTTACTGTGGCTATAGAAATCCTGCACACAAAACGCATTCATTTGCAAATTGCAAATTTATATACTCAATGTAATCCTATTTTAGCTTATTATATAAACCAGAGAACAAAGTACTGTTCTAACCAAATATTTTTTCAAACAAAAGTTTCCTTCAAATTCCTCAAACACACTAATACTAGTGAGCAGTTTTGTTGTACATATTTTGTTTTTGGTCGCTTTAGATTATGGTCCAATTCTCACTATTAACTATTAACTACGACTATTGCCTCAATAAACTCTTAATTACTGCTTATTAATAGTTAGCAATGTAGTTGTTAAGTTTAGGTATTGGGTAGGATTAGGGATGTAGAATATGGTCTTGCAGAATACGGCATTAATATGTGCTTTACAAGTACTAATAAACAGGCAATATCCTAGTAATATGCATGCTAATAAGCAACTAGTTAATAATGAGAATCGGACCCTAATTGACCACCTCACTTTTAGAAAAGCACAGATAAAATTATGATCTGTCAAACCTTGATTTGGATTTGAAAAGACTCTATTTTGGATTTCTATGGACTAGCATACCTGTAAAGTATGACATGCAGCCCCCAGACTGGAGCGGGCAGACAAATATCTGCCCTTTTTCATGCTGACTTTCACTGCAGCAATGCCCTGAGTGATGAGGTCCCGTCCATTTTTGAAATCTTCATTATCAAAATGATGAGCAGTGCTGAACTGCTTTCTATCCACAGCTATATTGCTAATGGAAGTCTGAGAAATTGCCAGACTGAAAGTGGATATTTTTAATAATGAGGAATATGAATTTGAGCAGGCTCTCTGGACGTCAGTTGCTGTCAATTTGTTGTTGATCTGGAGGTGAGGTGGAAAAATATTAGATTAGACCCACACTGTAAAAAAAAAAAAGTTGCTACCTTAAATTTTTAAGTATAGGCTACAATCAACTTGGATGTTTAAGTAATTTAAACTAAAATTAGCCTATGTATATTGTATAGTAAATATTTATGATAAGAAAAAAATATTTAATGAATAAATCTGATCTTGCACAGAAGAGGATTACAAGATTAAAGTGTTAAACTTCATCGTCACTGAATATCATGATGATTATCAGGTCATCAGTTAACTGCTTACAACTGGACTTGTTTCTCTTTGTATGACTATCTGTTAGTTACCTGTAAATGCGTTTTTTTTGTTTGTTTGTTTGTTTTCTTTGGATTTATTTATTTAATTAATTTTTCATAATTTTAATTTTATTTCATTAACATTTTATTAAAACACCATCTTGTCTTTCTGTTTTAAAAATAGATGTGCGTGCATTAAATTTTTACTTTGGTTCTATGACATTAAAGTGTGATGAGGTTACAGAAATGTTCCAGACTCAATAACATTTGTGATTTGGTGTAGATTTTTTTTTAAAATAGACTTGTGCCACACTTTGTGTAAAGAAACATGCGATCACAATGGATATCCATGAATGAATACAAATAGACAAATTCAGAAAAATGTTAAATATTCATACAAAGATAAGTCCAGTTGTACATTAAAAAACAACCTACGATATTCTATAAAATATTTCAGCGATTAAAACCACTGGTACTCATATTTTCATATTTAACCACTCATATTTTCTTCTTACAGGTAGTGTAAATTCCCGCCCCCGGGCAGCGGCTACGTCACGGCACACTTCTGCCATCTTGCGGAGGAAAGCTGCCTCAGTGATTTGATGATGTGTGAGGGATCCATCAGCAGGAAGGACTTTGAATGCTGCAGCCTGAGGGGGCTGAAAGAGAGCCCCCTGGAGGAGAAATACAGCCACTACAACCAGTGAAACCATGGCTGTTCACAATCACAACTGTGGGAAAATTCATGATGGGAATTCAACAATTTCTTCCAAATATTATACATTTTTATGCAAACTTTTTTTACTTCCTGACTCTTTAACAATATCTCTGGTGAGTGAAATAATGTAGAATAAGTCCTCCAGATAAGTCATCTTCAATCAAGATATATATATATTTTTTTATTTATTTTTTATTTGAGCAGTAACCATTCTGCTCAAAAGGAGTGAGCCGAAGCAAAGGAGCTTATAAGCGCCCACCCTCAAAATTTTATACAAGAAAAATTTTCATTTCACAATATTTCAAGGGAACATAGTGCAAAAGCAACAATACAACAACAAAGAGACAACAAAGTATCTGATCATGGTAGAAGTACCCCTAATGACAAGTCATTTCTTCTTCTCTATCAAAAATCTTTTGTTTGTATTTGTATTTAAAAAGATTGATGTTTGGACTTCGTCTCATTACTATCTCCAAATTATTCCACAATTGTACCCCATTAACTGTAAGGCTAAAACTTTTCAGTCGTACTATGTTTCTGCGTCCTAAAGTTTAATTCATCACGTAATTCATAACAACCAGTACGTTCTTGGAACCTTCTTTGTATTTGGCTTGGTAACAATTTGTGCCTTGCTTTGTATAGCATCTGTACTGATTGGAACTCAACAATGTCATAAAACTTCATGGTCTTTGATTTTAAAAATAATGAGCTTGTGTGGTCCAAAAACCCAACTTTATGGATTAATCGGATAACTCTTTTTTGCAACATTACTATCGGTCTTAATGTGCATTTATAAGTGCTACCCCATATCACAGAACAATAATATAAATAGGGCAAGATCAAGGAACAATATAAAGTGTGCAAAGCTTTAATATTTAAAATATGCTTTACTTTTGCAATTACAGAAATGCTTCTTGATATTTTAGTGATTGCATATTTAATATGAGAGTTCCAAGTAATTCTATCATCTATAATAACTCCAAGGAATTTGATTTCATGCACCCGCTCTATAACAACACCCTCTAAATTAGCATTAAACACCTGTGCTACAACAGTGCAACTGCTTCTGGATGGTGTTCGTGGTGTTCGATTCTGTGCACTTCTGCCTATACGCAAAAAATTGCCTCTTGAAGACATTAAAGATTGAAAGTAAAAGTGGCCCCTTCAAAACACCACATCAGTTGAATCTCATGACACACCCATTTCAAGGCTGCGTCCGAAAACGTATAGGCAGCTTACTGAGTAAGCGATTAAGAAATTAATCACAACAGTGTATGTCTAATTATAAATATCCCCATGCTTTTGCCAGTGTATATCTAATTATAAATATCCCCATGCTTTTGCCAATTATATGTCTTCATATAGCATACACATTTCTGAATAAAACTGTAACATCACATCATTGCCCTCTTTATTCTATTCACAATGCAAAATAGCAGCATAAATAAATTTTAGCTTTGACATTTAGGCCTGGTTTAACAGACAGGGCTTACATTAAGCCAGGATTAGACCTTAGTTCAATTAGGACATTTAATATAGCTTTTATAAACATGCCTTAGGAAAGAAAACTGTACTGGTCTGCATCTTGAGACAAAACAATGGCGCTGACCAGGGCAGGACTTAGGAGGCTGGGGGCCCGGGGCTTGAGTTTATGTTTGGGCCCTATACGCTACAAACATCATTATGGAGTAGCACAAATTACACAAAAATTTAAATATGCTTTGAGGTTCCTAGAACAATTAATATGCAACATGCCTATAGTCAAAGTTTAGTGGTAGGGTAATTTTAAATAGTCATTATAATACAATATAATGCAGGATGTGGTCTCTAGGTTGAGATTTTTTTTGTATTCATTGTCATAGCTATCTGTCAGATTCTTAATTTTGGTCAAAAAAATTCAATCAGAATGCAAAGACACGGTGTATGGCTTATTATGACCAAATAAAAGGAAGTCGGTATCAATAAAATCCATTTTTGGATTGACACAGGCTGATTAGACATGGCATGTATGGATTTACACAGCAAGTTATAATTGCATAAATTATGTTAAGAGATTAATGTTTTAAATGTAAAAAAAAAAAAAATGTAGAAATATGAAATGATTGAGAAAAATTAACTATGAAACCATTTTAACTATCAAACTAACACCGCCAGTAGGTGGCGGCAAGTCTCCATCTTAATGAGGGAGTTGGATCCTTTATTCAACCGATTCGTTCAAAAATCCTAATTCGTTTAACCTAGCAAACGACTGTATGTATGAATGGGTAGCCTAATTGAATCATTTACTTGTCTGATTCTGTCAAAAATGAAGATTTTTTGAGGAACAAAACACGTGTTACTCGGAGGCGCAGCGGTTCTGCTGTTTGTTCTGTTTTCTTTGATTGGACTGATGTCACATTTGCGATTGTGCAGATGTTCGGAAAATCAGCGCTCTTGCTGGTGTGATAACTCACATATCATATAGGCTCGTGTTTTAAATACATTAAACGGGAACTCGTTAGGCCTAAATGTTTTTTTTTGTATCATTTTGATGACATATTCCTATATTGTGATGGCAGTGGAGAGAGCGCTCAAAATATCATTTTGTGGAAAAAATAAATAGAAATTATCGTTCTCTTTAAAGCAACGAGACGTGAACATATAAGAATGTATCAAGATTTTTCTAAATGCTCGCTCTTTTGGACTAAAAGCCCAATTGAAGCTGTTTAAAGTAGCCGACCGCAATGGAGCAGATGCAGATCAACACGCGTGTTATTCTTTGTGATAAATATCAGGTTGCGCCGTTTGATTATAGCCTCGAAGCTAAGGTCCGGGTATTTTATTCCGTGCTCCCCTCCGTCTTTCAAACTAGCCTTTCTACTCCGTGAGTGCGGAAAGACGCGTTTGGCGCGTGCGCGCGCACTATAGTATATTGGATTTGTTTTCAAGCGCTCAAGTCACTCACTACTTTGGGCCCTCGCTCTGAACAAAACAAACGAACGAAAACGGGTAAGGGAGGGGGCCCCCTACTGGGCGGGGCCCATGGGCTGCAGCCCAGTCAAGCCCAATGGTAAGTCCGGCCTTGGCGCTGACATATTTTTAAGATATGTCAGTGCAAGTTGCTTTCAGGTAAAACAGCTCAAACATGCATTTTAGTCTGGGATTATCTTAATTAAGCCTTGTCTGTGAAACCGGTGGAGTCAAAGCTATAAATAACTAGCTTATAAGTTTGATTAACTTGTTGTAGAATTTATAATAGATAATCTGTTATGGGAATAGATTTTCCACTATATTTATTTAGCAAAATCTGTAGTTTCTAGGCTGTTATTTTTCATAACAAATGCTATAGATTAATTTTAAAAAAAGAAAGAAAAAAAGTAAACATTTGCCTAAACAGGGTACTGAATAGCCATGGTTTAACCTGTAATTATTGCTTTATTGTTACAAGAATGCTACATTTTCATAAGGGCAACAAGGTAGAATCAAGAGCCATGAGTAAAATATATTCTAATGATGACAAGGAAAAAACTGGCCATCAGATATTCCAAGAGATGGGAAATCATAAAGAGTCTGATGAACTGTAGGAAATAAACAATTAGGAATTCAGAAAAAGAAGGTAGGAAGTAGGACAGTAATAAACTATTTCAATACAGAAAATGTTAAGTAAAGTTAGTTTGACTTCCCAGGGCATTTTATAGGCTACTATAAAACTATAAAACTTGAAGGTTATTTGTATAGGTTGCATAGTATTTACAGTCATTACGTTCCTGTGTATATTGCGTGAATGACGGGTGGTTGGGCAGATATTGTGTTGCGGTAGGTGGTATGCCATACGGAACCGTTGCCACTGAAACTGCATTAACGCACCAGTGGGACTCGACTTTTAGTCAAACTATACCTTGTATACACAACCAGCAATGTCCTCAAAAATTATTACACAAAAAAAAAAAAAAAAAGAAGAATATTTTCTTTACCTTGTAGTAGATTTTTCTTGAGAAGAACGTATTTTCAGGTTCTGTCTGTATATTTATATCCTTTTACATGTGACGTCAACGTCAATCTGCAATAGAAATCTTGTAAAGCCAGGCAGATAAGTGAAAGGTGATTGTATAAATGACCAACCACAATGAAGACAACCTGTTTCCATTTTAACCATAATTAAAAAGGAAATAACCCATAGGTACCATATAAAAAATTAAAATAATAATAAACTTGGACTGTTTATTATATTTTACAGAAACCCCTAAATAATAAAGAGGTATGAATGAGAATGGAAGCAAAACAGAAAGTAACCCATGCTTAATCAGGTCTGCTTTGTTAAAGGTCAAGCCTTTTGCAAACGAAAACGGTTTGGGCTGGAATGAAGACAGACTTCATTCCCCCACACCCTGATGGTCTTAAGAAGGATCTGGTCCGTGTTGTTTGTAGAACAATATCTCAAACAACCAATCAGTTGAGGGATAATGTTAGAGTTAGGGTTAGGACTGTGTTACGGTCCTGCAGCACTTTTGTTCAAAGTGTTGCAATATGGAGATGTGTGTAGTTTGGTGGTGTTGTTGTTGTTGTTGTGGTGGTGTGTAGCACTTTTATTCAAAGTGTTGCAATATGGAGATGTGTGTAGTTTGGTGGTGTTGTTGTGGTGTGTGTGTTTCAGGTCTTCGTTGAATCAATCTACCACCTGTCAATCTTAATGAAGGATGATGACGTTTCGGTTCACCTCATCCAATCATATCTCACCACTTCATTCAAATGCCCGTGATCACTTCCATGTCGACAGCTGTTTGCTCACTTTTGTTTGTTGCGCTTGTTTGACTTGCTGTCAATGATTTGTCTGTGTGTCTAACATTCGAGTTCTGTTTAATTGTTGCATAGTGTTTTGAGTATACTGTTCAACTTCAGCCTGATCAGTTTACACGGAGTGTGTAAAGCTGGGAAGAGAGCAGGTTAGTAGGTCGCGTGACATACATTTTGCACTTAGGAGGTTTTGGATTATGTTAGACACAGTAGTTTAGGAGAGTGCCCACTTTGTAAGTTTTGTTATTTAGTTAGTGTAGTTTAATTAGAGCGTATTGACGCCGAAGATTGTTCTTTTCTACATTTTTCGTTTGGTAGTTAGTTTAGCTGAATTAACCTTTTAGCTAGTTTTGTTTTGTTTTATTGATTTCTTTGATTTGGCATCTCTCGTGCGCTCACCTTCCCACCTTGTGTTTTTGTTTGTGTTTAAAGTCGTTATTTTGTTATTGTTCGTATTCATTGTTTGTATATAGGCCTATTGTAAATATTATTTTCTTCATGGCACTGTGGATTAATAAATCATTTTGAGCTGAGTTCTGAGGTCGGCTTCTTTTTCTTGCTCTGTTCTGTACATTGAGGTACACACACAATTTTTAAAAAGTGTTATGCCCTTATTTCCCTAGACATCGTAAATAGGGACAGACTGGGTTAGGGACTTGTAAATCATTGTTATTGATCTAAAAATTTCCTCCAGTTTAAGGATTAGATTATGGTTTGGGTTATAACTATAATTGTTGTTCCAGGATCAACGAAACATGCTGACCCAGGACCATGCATGCAAAATCAGTCCTTAGAAATCAAATCAAACGAACAGTTTAAATGTCAGATAAAATAAAAGAATGCAGCTTGGCCTGGGAAGAAGTTTGACTTCATTCCCCATGCACAACCTGCTGGTCTTAGAAGGGTTCTGCATGATACTTACAAATCACACAGACCATAATAAAACAGCTTTATTGCCCGACGAGATAAAGAAAATAAGAATGAAGATTGACATTCCTACACAGTATTTGACACAACGGCATATGCCTGAAACCAAATATTACACACAGGATGACATATTTTCTAAGGCAGATTTTGACCTGCTAAACTGTTGTAAAAGAGCTTGTTTCAATATTGTCACATATTAGGTTGCAGCATAGACGAGGTGAAGCAAGATCTAAATGCAGCAGTATTTATTTTCAAACTAACTAAAAATCTTTACAAAACCAAATAACAGGAACAGAACAACCTAGAATAGAGATGACGACAGACAAGGAACAGACTGAAACACAAAGACTAAACGTGAAAAAATATATTGTTTTTATTATATATTAAGTGATATCACAAATAATTGTATTCATTGAATCCTCCCAAACTATCTAAAAAGCCAACTAAAACGTATAGTCATTCATGTAGCAGGGGTTTAGTGAAGCCCCTGAGCCAAGGAGAGGCTTATACAATACTGATGCCCTGCCCCTGATATGAACTGGGTCAGGGCCGTAGCTAGAGGATTCGGGGCCCCCTGAAAAAATATTGATGTGGGCCCCCACCACCCTTCACCAATATCATATACTGTACAATAGATGAACATGGAGGCCCACATAACAGAAGATGGTGATGTTGTAAAACCTTTATTTTAAAAGTTAAATGTTTATATAAAAATTACAACTAATAAAAACTAACAAAAAAAGCAAGAAATTGTTAAATAATAATAAAACCAATTTTTAAAAAGTAATAATTTTTTCCCCCATCAGTCTGTTATAATTCATAAATCAAAAAGTAAACATTTAGAAATTGACAAGAATGCAGTCTAATTAAAAAAAATAAACCATTCATTGTCTTATTTTTTAATGAAGATAATATGGAACTGGTAATATTATTAAATAAAGCGAATACATTTATTCATCCAAGTGCAGTGTGTTGTATTCGTGTTTTCTCGATGTTTTAAATATCATCAGCCGGCAGGTGCATAATGCAATGCGTCGTGACTCGTGTAAGTTAACGTTAATTTTTTTTTAACTCTAGTTACAATAGTGTAAAAAGACAGGAATTTAGACCACGTAACTTGCCAATATCTTGGCAGTCCAAGCAGTCGTTTTTCCATTTTTAGACCACCATACCACATATTCTTTGTCCACATCAGGTTCATAATCAATAAGGTTCAACCGGCCAACTTCAACTGTACGGTTACTAAATTCATAAAGAGCGTACATATTTCCAAAAAGATTGTTTGTTTACAATTCCCACTGCGTCTGTATCCTAGGCAACAAGAGAGGAAGCGCGAGTGCGAAGGTTGCCAACACAAATGCGCTATTTAGGTAGGGTATGTACCATGGTAAATCTGAGGTACTATACTATGTACCATAGTAACAGCTACAGTACCATACAATGTACCATGGTAATATCTGAGGTACTGCAGAATGCACCATGGTAATATCTGAGGTACTAGGGTATGTACCATGGTAAATCTGAGGTACCATACTATGTACTATAGTAACATATACAGTACCATACTATGTACCATGGTAATATCTGAGGTACTAATGGTATGTACCATGAAGGTACCATGGTACTACTATGGTATACCATTGTATGTACTATAGTTTATCATGGTAAACTTTCTTATGGGATTTTGCAACAGACTCATAAATCAACTAAATAATGTGGCGAACTACTCATACAATGTTTGAGAGGAGATCAAGGTTGATTCAAGTTAGATTACGGTCAAGTATGATGCAAGTTAGAGATTATGGCCAAGAATGGTTCAAGTTAAGCACACAGCCACTCTCTGTATTATCTGTTTATCAGGATGGTCTTATACTGCCTATGCTTGGCTTATAAGATCTCCTTGGCGATGACAAAGATAAACTGCTATGGATCGCATTATTGTAATCACCATGCAGACACAACAAAACTTAGAGCTGATGTTGTAAGCAGGCCACTAGCAATTTATGCAGCTACAAAAATTACTTTGGAAAAAGATTTGAGAAACCTTTAAGGCATGAATAGAACAAGCAAACAACAGGCATCCATCACATCAGGGCCTGGGACAATAAACTAGCTAGTGGTGCAGAAATAAGTTTCATTTGAAAATTTCTTTACAACATATACAACATTGTCCATAAGATTTTTATTTATTTAATAATTGCGTTTATTGATTTTGAAAAAAAAAAGACATTTAATAAGAGTTACGTGTGAACACAGACATACAGAGGTAATCATTTATTATGGAAATGGTTGACCGATTTTGTAAGGGCAGATTCTGCTAAAATCGTAAAACGATTAGAAAATGAAACTCCCTTGATGAATTACAAAACAAGTGAGCAGTTATTGTGAGTGAAATTTGAGCTTGGGCTGCACAGCAAACATTTATGAATGTCAAATCAGGCTTAGTTTTTGTATTGGTTCACCATCTCTTCCAGTTTAGCCTGGTTGGACCCCGAGAAATCGTCCAGCTACAACAGAAAACAAGTGATTAAATCATCCAAACAATAACTGGAAATAAATTAAACACCTCATGCATATTCATAGAGACATATCTGTAACTTTGTACAGTTGATATGTGACTAATATTAGTTCAATTAAAAAAGACAACAGAACTAACCTTCTTCCCGTTCTTGTAGAAGTGGAATGTTGGCATACATTTGATCTCACAAGACTGGGCTACATCCTGAAAAACACAGAATGTAACTTTTATATTGCTTCAGACTTTTTATTGCTCTCATTCTACTGCTTTGAGCTAATGAGACTTGCAGGGCACATTCAGAGCAAGGAATGAAAGCAAAAACATAGAAGTGGGACTGAAATGTAACCACACCATTTCATACTTTATTCTAATTCTGCTACCCTCTAGTGGTGTATTTCATGAGTAAAACAGCAAAAAAAATACATAGATGTGCATTTTTTTTTCCTGCCGATGTGACTGTTACAGGTACTTCCCTATACAGACATTTCATTGTATTGCACATACAATACCTATGACTACAGAGCAAGTATTTGTCCAACTATGTTACAAAAGCAAACTTAAAAATAAAAAAAGGTTAGGTGACAAGAGCATTTCTTTAATCCAAAGGGATTTGGGCCTAAACACTATGAGCAACTATGGTTGCAGTAGAGTAAACAATAAGATTCATGAAAGAAAAAGCTTTACAAGGAATTCCGACTGGTTTTAACCAACAAATACACGTTACACGACTGCGTTCCCAAACAGCAGGTATCCGCCTCTGAACAAAAGATAACATGACAGCGTTTATTGCGTTCGCAGTCTGATGCGCAAGTAATTTATAATATATGGAAAAAGACCCAGACTAACCTCTGCTACTGCAGCAACTTATATTTAGTGATATGTGGCAATTTATCAGGAAGTGACGATTGTCTCCTCTTTGCCTTGCTGGATGGAAGCGGTGCTCTATTAGCAAATGTTTTATGCGATATTCCAATTTTGGTCAAATTTGCAACTTAGTTTTGATAGAAACATAACTATTTTAGGCCTACTCTACTTCATGTAGTTCCAAAAAGACTTTCGTTCGGAACACAAACGAAGATATTTTTAATGAAATTGAGAGATTTCTGTCTCTCTATTGACTATTCACTCAAAACTCTGACACAAAACGTTCATAAAGAGATCTGAAAATAAATCCACATGAATAGAGCGCTTTAATCCAAGTTTTCTGAAGAGACATGATTGCTTTATATATTGAACAGATTTAATTTAGGCATTTATTCACAAATAAACATTGATCCGCAAACATACATAGGGAACTCAAATAAGATCAAGGGAAGCTCAAACATTATTGACAACAGAAGACTTGGATTAAACCGCACGATTCATATGGATTTATTTTACAAATTTTTTTATGAACGTTTTGAAGCATCAGAGTTTTGGGTGAATATACTTTCAATAGAAGGACAGAAAATTCAGATTTTGTTAAAAATATCTTAATTTGTGTTTCAAATAGGGATGTACCTGAATGAAAATTCTGGGCCGAAACCGAAAATTCTCGAAGCACTTGGCCAAAAACCGAAACCGAAAAAAAGAAAGAAAATGGATTTCCTTATTTTAAAATGTTTGTTTGTATAATTGTATTATTATAAGACCTCTTTAATTGAATACAATAATTAAAAAAATACATGCCAATAAAATAAAATAACCACACTTTTATTTAAAGTAACACAAAAATTTCACAGAAAATAGGCCTGTATTAAAATAATATTAAATATCAATATATTAATATCAATATATTATTCTTCATTCAGTTCTATGCAACATAATTCGATTTAACAGATTAATTTTTTGACCAATTATCAAAATAAAGTAGTCCTACAAAGCTAATATTATCAAAGCCTGTGAGCAGATAGCAGGGAGTGGATCAGTGAATGAGAGGGTAGCGTCATTTTACCAGCGTTGCCCAGCACGGCTATACACACCATATTACAGAACAGTAGGGCTATTGCAAAAAGAAACACATCCAGAGAAATTTCATGTCGGCACGTTTTTCGAGCAGACGTTGCTTTTCCGGTGAGCGTGAACAGTACATTAGTGGAGCGTTTGGGCTGAGATCGACTGAGCAGAGCAGAACACTGAGCAGTCGCTTTGAAGTTGTCCATCTTCGGAAGTGGAGCCGCTCGCAAAGTTACAAAACATGCTGCGCCTGAGTAAAAGCTGACCGCTGAACACGGAGGGGCGGGGCAGCATATTTTCGCCCTTTTTTCTCTTTCGGCCAAAAACCGAAAATGTCATTTTCGGACGATCATTTTCGGCACCCGAAATTTCGGTACATCCCTAGTTTCAAAGATGAACGAAATCTTATGGGTTTGGAATGACATGAGGGAGAGTAAATGACAGAATTTTCATTTTTGGGCGAACTAGCCCTTCAATTGACCGTTCGCAAAGTTCGCCCCTTTTAGTTACTGTTGCCATGTCCGACAAGCCATGCCGCGGCGCTCTCATGCCACACCATGTTCTCACGCAGTGAAAAATACATCGCTGAACAAAGGACACTGACAACGTGCTGACAGACAGGATAGAGAAGGTTACTTTTGATAAGAAACAAAGATTCAACTTTCAAATTTGGTCATTTTATAAAGTTTTGTGGCTCTTTAATGTGTCGTGACAGGTCGCTGTAGAGCCTCAGTTAAAGCTGCTCGTGAACCGATCATCTCTTCCTTCTAGTTAATTTTTAGAGCAACAAATAAACATGAATGAACATCAGAAGGAATGTTGTTTCAACCATGGAAAGACATCAATACACCGTTTTTCAAGTTCAAATCCACCGACGTTAGTCTACTAACTCTCCTGACTGCTGAGTCGGACAAAATGGCGGATTATGATTGGTCAGATCGCCTGTCAATCAAACTCCCTGCGAAGGGTGTATTATCCAGCTTTGTGCTAGCTACATTAAACCAAAAAGTATGTCTTTTGTTTAAGTTCAGAGTTTGTAATTACACATGTAATCTAACATGCTGTTAACGCACCTACAGTGCATTAGGTAGACGTTTGCATGTTTGAAGATGCATTATACAGTTTTGTATTGGTGCAGCAAATTATGTGACATGAGTTGGCATTAATTATTTTATAACCCTACAGCTCTAACAAAAAAACTCACCTGTGCATCATCCACGTCCACTTTGAGGAAGACCACATTAGCATAGGAAGGATTTTCAGACAGACCCTACAAGCGAGTCAGATAAGTTAATTCCAACAACCCAATGCATATAGTGATTCAGATGCGAAAAACCAAAGGTTACTTACTTTGAAAAAAGGTGCAATGCTCTGACAAGGCCCACACCACGTGGCTGTAAAGTCAACCACTATAAGCTTATCACCTGCCTCAGCCAGAGCTTTGTCAAAGCCGTCCTGTGAACAAGTCAATGCTGGTTTTCATATTCTGTCACCAATACCATAAAGAGATATTTTTTTTAAACAATACAATGTCACTGTGGACCCTTATTTTTATACAGGCAACAACATGTTTGTAATAAATTACAAAGACATGATTATGTGACCTTATCTGCCTTTACATCATTCCAGACTGTGGAGTAAAACCAGCCACTCCACTCACATGCTGTTCCAGACCAGCTTTTATTAGTCTGTGTGCATTGCTTGATGATGCACAAAGCTTGATGCTGCTTTTAGAACAATTTTCATTAGTGGAAAAGAAATAAACTAAATGGCTACGTTTTGTCAATAATTAATTATTTGCTTGTTTATAGAACTGTTATTTCAAAGGAATATAGTTAATAATGCTTCACTGAAATTATTGTTTAGTTAAATGCGTATTTTGTGCATCTCATTTGCTATAATTAAATTGTTATATGTATACTGACCACATGCCCTCTAGTTACAACACAAAAACCACAATGGTAGACCACCTGTCAATACTTTTGTAATGTTAAAATTAGGCTATTTATCAGTAACAGACGGAATCAAACAACATGGTGCCTTTGCATAAACTCAAACAAATAGTAAGAGGAAGTCAACATGATGACAGTTAATGAAGTCCTTGTATACCGTCTTGCCTCTTTCACTGCGGCAAATTATCAAAAAAGAAAAAAAAGTCGAAAGAGTCCAACCCACGTGATTTGATGGCGCGCTTCGTCTCATCAGGCCGCGATCACAGATATAAACAAAATGATACAAGAGTCAGAGTGTGATATTTTAGGTATTAAAGTATAACCCGTAAGTTATATGAAACCACGTTTTTTTAAACGGTAGAATGAGACGACATTGCGTTATCATAAGCAGGAAGTTGTGTAACGTTAATGTAGAGGTTTGCCAGCTGCCGCAAAACTATGTAACATTATTTCACGTACATTGGTTCATAATTTTACAACAAAACTGTTGGAGTGCGAATAACGTGATATGAGAATGGCATTTTGGGGGGTTAATCATTTTTTGCTTTCGGCTGTTGTTGTGGTTAGGTAACGTGACGTGACACTAGCTGGTGTAAAGAACCGGTTAGCTGATAGGCTAACTAAATAACGTTATACTTTTTTCAGAATCTGAAATAGCATATTTAATTTGATCATTTGCTAATACTTTGTGAATTCTTACACAGGGCTGTTACATTTTCGACAAACTTAAATGAAATCGGTTTGATGGGCAGCTAAAGGCTCTCGTGCAGTTAGTCAGCAAAACGTGTCCTAGCTCCCTAGTCATACCGCGTGAATTTGCTTATTTTTTGGTCGAATTAATTTGTAAATAAAGCTCTGTTAAATCAAGCTATCGCTCTTACCTGATCTTCAATGATGGTGATCATTTTATCGCTTTACTGCTGCCTCGAGCTCAGAGAACAAACCAAACCTTCCTCAACACGCTCGCCCACAAATGGACCGTCTGTTCCTGCCTGTATGAATCAAGCGTGTAGTTTACAGCATCGATTCATTCAAAAAGCCCTGCCCATAAACGCGCTCTCGCTGGCGGACAGAGGCTAGAAATGCACCATTGTATGACTGGGACTCTATAATGTGGGAGTATACTGGACATTCTTGCTAAAATAAGCCCACCCAACATGTTTTAGATATTTGAGATATTTTGCAGAAGTTGTTAAATCCACGTGTCGTGTTCAATTTGACAGACATCTCAAGCAGTTAACTGTCAAACAAACCTGATTTTATATTGATATTATAATTTCTAGCTTTGCATGATCATATAGTTGATGGCATTCCATTATTTGCATGTCGCATTGTTTTTTCCTCGTCTGTTATCAGAACTATGGCCTACACGAACCACTTTTAAATTTGCATAAACTTTTTTTTACGTCACTGTGACTGACACTTTAACAATTCACTTGTGTTGACTTTACAGTGATTGTACATTTATATTAAAACACTTTTTGAGCCAGTGTTAAATGTCACTTTTTTGAGCATTGCAATATAACTCACATTAATATGAATTCACATTATTTGGTTTCTGATGATCACAGTGCAGATATTTTATCTAATAAACTTGTCTTTTTTGGGATTTTTGCACTGTTAAAACAAGGTGTGAAAGATAACAGCAAATATGAATGACATGTGCTAAAAACAGTCCATTAAATATCAAAATTAATGGTAAAGCAATAAGTAAATGTAACAATAATACATGTATATTTAAATGTGTTTTCATGAAAAACTGTTACCAGTGGTCACACTGTTAATTTGCACACAAATTGCCCACATAGGTAATTCTCATGTCTAGTGCCATGTGCGGTTCCTTTTTTCTGCTCTTTAGAACAACCTTCAGCTTCACTCAGCCTGTTCTGTGATGTCTCGTTCCATCCCATCCAATCACATGTTAATCATTTTCTTTGAACACTGATGAAAATGCATGGGATGATGGTGATGAGTGTGTTGTAATAGGATCTGGAATAATTGCTCTTTGAAGTCTTTGAGTACGATGTTGCCACAGATACGAAACACTGCCTCTGGCAGCTATTCACCGATTCCAGGTGTCTGGCCTATGTCTCCATCATTTGGAAAGGAAGCCTTACAGCCGCTTTAAGGGCATGTGAGTGTGGTTGTATAGCCTTAAACGTTTGACTGAGGCATGAACATCACGTTATAGTTTAATAAGGAGATCTTAGGCGGTCTGAGAAGGTTTTCACTGTGGAAGAACTTATTTATAAACATCTGGTTTAAACCTGTGCGAATTGGGGTAAATGATGCTAAAGATGTTAGAATGCTATTACAACTGATTAAGCCAAATAGATAATCAGCAAAAATGACCTCAATAAAAGTCTATTCGCTTACAAATGAACTATCACACATTTTACAAATACCTGGATGAATGCAAACCCTCACAAATCTATTGTGATTATTGAATGCCATAAAAAACTTCAGGAACAAAAAAGAACAGAAAAGACATTTTGTGGACTGCAGAAGCATCAAGTGCTGAAAACATGGGTCCATATCTCAGATCCGATTTAAAAGCCAACAGTTTTACAGAGACAATTATTAACGTTAATGACAGCTCTCATATCTAATCTGTCTGCAGCTGTAGAGCGGTGATTGTAAAGTGGACGTGTCTCGCTCATTCCATTTCCTAGGTGTTTTGATCTCAGCCGTAGAGTGTAGACAGATAACAGGTTAAACAGGAAAAAACAATAGATTGAAAACATGGAAATAGTCCCAATATAAATAGGAGACAAACTAACCTGGAGGCAAAAGAGTGTCAACTGATCACTCACATAAGAGTAAAGGGAACGTGTGCATTTTTAACTGGCTGAATAGACCTTATTATATTAATAATGTACCCAAACCAACTTGTTACTTAAAACAGAATTCAAATTTCATATATATATATATATATTTTATTCCAATTTTCCGAAATAGTGTACTCTAGAGTAGACATGCCATAATGTGCAAAGCTGTCATCTTGGTCACATAGTGCTATGGTCAAAATGATGCATGACCTTGGACTGACCATCACAAAATATAGAGAAAATTTACAATTTTAATATTAAAGTAACAACAGGTAGTTTTTTGCTCTCGGGCTCCCCCTACAGTTGGGAAACAGTATTGTCCTCTACTACTGTCGTAAACTGTCATCCTACATGCACGTGCATTTGTTGACAACCATGATAGCCCTGAACACTGTAGGAGGAGGTCACATGCAGGTGTTCCCGCGTGTGTGAAATGTCTTCATCCCAGGTACAGTGGCATATATTTCAGCATGTCATATGAATATAATTTCATGTGTTTTATTTTTTTTATAACGACAAATGATCGCGTTTACAAGCCAGCGTCATTATAGTAGCCTAGTCTATTGGTTACCGTTTTACTGAATCTATATGATACTTCAATGCAATGTTTGAGTGGTTGATAATAACCATATATCGTCAATATTATAATATCAAGCTACCATAAATGAATCTGCAAATTTTACAAATCGATTTGCATTATAGCTTGAGGCAAGACAAATAAACAAATATCACAGACATGTTTGGTATCCTAAAATATGATTTTATTAATAATCTTCCTCCTTTCTTTGTACATTTCTTTTTAGGTCAAACATTAGCTATTTGCATTTCATCGATTGCAAAGTTCAAATCAGAACGAGAATACTAGCGATAGCTAACAATCAAAAACTAGAATATCGTTTACTAGCTACCAGATTGATAATTCGCTACTACTCTAGCGAATTAGAGAGGTTAGAGAGAGGCATTCTTTTTTCGATGGAGGGTTCGATGCTCCCTGCACACGCAAGGTCTCTCGCTCGCTTTCTCTCTCTGCCGTCCGCGCGCGTTGGAGCATAGTCTCTGTCTCGCGTGCGCGCTCGCTCTAGATTCCGGGAGATTTGAACTAATTTGCGGTATAACTTGTCGATCACGAGTGGCTCAACAGGTAGAGATCTATAGATAAACTCATCTTTCAGGCATTTGACCGACCGGGTTGACAATTTAGCGTGAGAAACCGGGGGTGTGGCGTACGTGTGGCGTGTGAAACCAATTAAATGCGGGTGTCTCACGGCCAATGCGTGAGAGTTGGCAGCTCTGCAATGTTGATCCTCGTTCTGCCTTTAACGCGATCACTTTCTCTTTTTCTCTTTTTGCTTTGCTCCGATAAAACCTTTGCTTTCTTGTTTTTCTGTGCTGCTTCGGCCATGACTATAACATTTGGCTCGCAAGTCCGATTTTAAGGAAGTGGGGGTGGTGGTGGAAGTGACGTATATGCCGTAAAGCAGTCGAATTTTGTAGTTCTCTTTGTTCGCCGGTTACTACCCGAAACCCGAAGTTTAAAAGTACGATTAAAAACGCTACAGACCCCGTCAGGCTATGGCAGACGTGTCATTCAACCTATTGTAAGTCGATGTACCATCACAAGAGACTTGGAAATATATTATGAAGGTTGAAAAGTTACCTGTTGTTACTTTAAAAGCCATTTCTACTCTGCAAATAATTCAAAATGTTATATAACTTAAAATGTGCTTGTATTTAAATGAAATGATTTTGTTATATTTATAGGTTACACCAAGGATCATATCATGAATAAATATCTTAAATATATATATATTACATTAAAATACTTTCTCCAATCCCAGTTTAATGTGTAGACTTAAGTAAGCCATTTCTAGCTTCTTGAAATGATTAGAAATTGTGGTGGTTTCAAGTACAAAATCAAAGCTTGTTTTATTGGCACAATGTAATGGGTGATTTTGAATATTGTGATATATTTTTAATGGGAGAGAGAAAGAAAAATTAGAGTCTTCAGTTATGTGAAATATCATTGTATCCAACAGATTTTGACCCTTATCTGTCTTTATTCATGGCCCCTTCAGAATTCAACAATAAAACAATAAATGCATGTCATGTTGTCTGTTGTTCATATTTTCTTTTGAAATGATGTTTGATGTTGATGACACGTTTGACATATCTGAGAATTTATGTTAAACACATCATCAACATTCACATACCCCCAAAGCCATATTAAAATATATATTATTCAAGAAGACAGATATTACACCCAATATTTGGGAAAAATCACATTAAAAGAGTAATTTTCATTTAGTCTTACTGCTTTAGGTAATTTATTTAATACGTCAGCAATGTTTGAACAGATCTTTCAGAGAAACCACAACAAAATATGAGTAATAAAGGCTAAGAAAACAAAGGTGCACCAATGCCCAACATTTAAAATGCTCCAGTGTGTTGTTTACTTGTAAATATGATTGCTTTACATCCTTTGAGTGCAACAAAACTTCTTCCTTCTAAAACACAAAAGCCTGCTTATGGCATATTCTAATCATAAAACAGATTTATCAGAAGAAAGAGCCTGCTCTTGAAAAGCTTGTTAAGAGGACACAATGAACAGCACAAATGCTTGTTCAAACATCATTGTTTTCAGTGCATGGAAGTAAAAAAAAAAAGTACTGTTATGAATTGCAGTATTTCTCACATAGTTATAAAGTTATTAAATGTCTCATGTAATCATCCAGTTTATTATGAATAAAATCAAGTTTTCATATATCAAGGTAAACACAAATGCAGCCCTCTGAAACATGTCAGTTAATGTAAAATGCATTCTGCACTTAGAAAGCAGAACAAACGTAACTAAGCTTTGGATAGTGACATGCTGTAAATGTGGTACAGTACGTGTGGTTGGTTATGTGGTCCAGTTGTTGCAGATATAGATGCATGAGATGGATTAAGGCTTGGCTGTTGTCTTGCCTGGTTCCTTCCAGCCGCCAAAAGCTTTCTCCAGGTAGAGGGCGGTGGCCAAAGAGAGACGGTCCTGTAACTTACCTGTCACAATCTGTACGCCCAGGGGCAAACCCTCCACACTCAGCCCTAATGGACACTGGGTCACTGGCAGGCCCAGGATATTAAAGATACCTGCAGAGAATAGAACCGCTTAGAGCCTAGACCCCTCCGGGAAAGT